AGGGCCCTGCTCTGCGCTCGGTGGCTCGGCAAGGCTGCGGCGCTGGGCTCTGGTTGCTGCCGTCTTCGCTCTTGGTGTGCCCCGGCCTCTAAGTGTCTCTCCCCTGTTTGTGACTCAGCTCCCAGCAGGTGACCGATATCTTCCAGGGCCTGACAGTGGGGGTCATGTCCCTCGGGCACCTTGGCCATTCAACCACGTAAGATGTCTTTCCCCTGGGTGGGAGCTTGCGAGGGGACGTTGCCTCAGGCTGCAGCCTTCACTGTTCTCAGGGTCTCTTCTCACCTGCTCTGCATGCGGCCGGCGCTGGGGCTTCTCCCTTGGCTCTGGCAGGTTTGTGGTGTGCTCCCCCCACGGCAGCCCCACGGGCGCTCCCTCGGCCATCCCGGTGCCCCATGGCAGATCCCGGGCAGCGCTGAGGATGCTCTGCCTGCACCATTAACCTCCAGAGACCTCCAGAGCTGCCGGGCCCAGCTCCGGGCCTGGGCACCCTCTCAGAAATCAGAACTTGGGAGATGAGTTTTGTCACCCCCCTCCCAGTCTGCTGCCCCACACTGTCTGCAGATCTCGGTCCTCTGGTTAGGCCACCCGCCCGGTCCTAGGCCCCCTCCCTGAGCGTGTGTTCTCAGGACAGTGTTACTCCTCGGTCCGGAGGTTTTCTCTCCCTTGGTAGCCGCGGGAGCAGTTGGTTCCCTCCCTGTCTGCTTTGCAAAGCAAATCGAGGCTCCTCCTAGTCTCACCTTTCCCCTTACCAAGACGGGACCATTTCTAGAAATCTTGGCATCAGCGTAGCTGCTGTCCTGGGGTGGCCGTGGCCCCATCCCTGCCTGATCTATACCCCGTGTCTCCTTCGTTTGTTCCCCTCTGAGCCCAGGGGCTCACTGAGAGGGTGATGGGCGTGAGGTGCTGCCTGTGGGCAAGTGATTCCTGCCTTGGGGAATTCCTGCCTTTGGGAGTCCTGTGGAGCCTGTTCTGACCCTGCGGCCTTTCTGGAAGGTCTTCTCCCTTCCCCGCTGCGCCCGGCCGCGCTCTGCCCGTCCCTTACTGCCATCAGGCAGGTCACCCGGGGCAGGCTCTGCCCCCGCCCAGGCTGTTGCTGGCAGTGTCCCCCTCCTCCTCCGGGGACGAGCCGGATCGGTGCCAGCGCGACCTGCACACAGAGGTGACGGTGTTAGAGCCTGAGACAGGGCTGGTGTCCCCTCGGGTCGGGGGGCTGGGGTGTCTGCTCAGCCTGGCCGCCCTCTCCAGTCCCATCCAGAAGCCGGGACCCCCCCAGAAGGGACATGCTGTGGGCTCTGCCCCGGCTTGGTGCCCTCCAGCAGGCGAGGGAGCCGACAGGTGACATCTCCCCCGCTGTGGTGACAGTGACGCTGACCCTGTGCCTGTAGCTGGTGGTGAGGGATGCTCCTGTCTCTGCTTTGCTCTCGGTGTGACGGGGTGTTGGGGTCTTTAACCCTTCGGGGGCTGCTCTTTGGGCCGCGCTGGGCTGTGGTTGTGCACCAGTGGGGTCCGCTGGCCTCAACCCCTTCTCTGCTTCCAGGACACTCTCCAAAAACCTGGTGAAAAACGCCAAGAAAACAATCGGCCGCCAGTACGTGACGCGAAAGAAATACACACCGCCCACGTGGGAGCAGCGGAGCAGCCAGCACTTCCCAGAGGACAACGAGGATGAGATCTCAGGTGGGGAGCACCCTGAGCAGGGAAGGGGGGCTGTGGGGAGCGGGACCGTCGCTGCAGCATCTCCCACCTGGGAGAGGTCCCGGGTGTCGCTCTGCAGGGGAGCAGGCACGGAGGATCGCCACCATGTCGCCTCTCCCAGTTCTCCCAGCTCTCCCCAGTTAGCGACTCGACGCACTGGCAGTACCTAACAAGCCCTGGGAGAGGAGGGAGCTCTTGGTCAGAGGCCTCAGCTCCTCTGGTGAAGAGTCGCTGATTTAAGCTGCAGCATGGTGGGTTAGGTTAGACCTGAGAAGAGCTTGGCTGGTTTGAGAGTAACAAGGGACTGGAAGGGACTGGAGGCCTCTGCGCTGACAGACCTCCCGGGGCAGGCGCCTCAGAGCGGATGCGGATGGGATTTGGGGTGTCGGTGGGGAGCGGAGTCTGCGGGGCTGTTCCAACGCGCTGGACACGGCCGCTTTTGGACCTTCTGTTCACTGAGACACTTTGGATTCTGCTCCGTTTGTTCGCTCCCCAGTTGCTTTGTGACACTTCTCAGCTCGAGATCTGCCGCAAACGTCACAAACCTCCGCTACGTCCACTATTTGAGTTATTAGCAAAAATATTCAGGCCCAGAAGAGATGCCTTTGAGATCTGTTGTTCTCAGTTCTGGCGTTAGGAAACGCACCCGGAAAGCTGCCCCGGGAGAGTGGCCACCCAGGGTTTTGTCTGCCTGGCTGTGATTTTCTGGGGCTGGAAGCCTGGCTGGAGCTGAGGGCTCACCTGTGTTGCCCCCCACTCCCAGGAGGTCGCTTTCCTCTGAGGGAGGAGATGAGGCCAGTGTGACGGAGCAGCCCTGGGCAGCTCTGCCGGGCTGGTCCTCATCCTGCAGTGGTTTCAAGCGATGTGAAAGCACCAAAGAAATCTGCTCTCATGTCACCACCCAGGCAGATGACTTTTCCTTGGGCTTTCAGCCTCCCAGAGCCCCGTGCCCAGCCCTGGGCTTTCAGGTGAAGGGCGTGGGGTGAGCTCCTGCCCTGTGCTGTCTCTGCTGGGTTGGGAGATGCCCCCACGTCACCTCCAGCTGCACATGGGGCACCGAGGTCAGACCCGGATTCCCCTTTGTCCTCCGCAGTGTCCGAAGAGATGGACAGAAGCACTTTGACCCCCACCACCACCATCAAACCTTCGGACAAGATGACCATCAACCACCTGGTGGAGCGAGCCTGCTGCCGCGACTACCAGCGCCTGGGGCTGGGCACCCTCAGCAGCAGCCTCACCCGCTCCAAGAACGAGCCCTTCCGCATCTCCACCGTGAACCGCATGTACGCCATTTGCCGGAGGTGAGCCCCAGCGGGCCGGGGGGGGGCTGCAGGGGCAGGACAGGACAGCGGGGGGTCCCCCCTGCTTTGTGGGAGCCCTGCCCAGCCCCTCTCTCTCCCGCAGCTACCCTGGGCTGCTCATCGTGCCGCAGAGCATCCAGGACAACACGATCCAGCGGATCTCCCGCTGCTACCGCCAGAACCGCTTCCCCGTGGTGTGCTGGCGGAACGCCCGCACCAAGGCCGTGCTGCTGCGCTCGGGGGGGCTGCACGGAAAGGGCGTCGTGGGACTCTTCAAGTCCCCGAACGCTCCCACCCCAGGTGCCTGCCCCCCCGCGCTGCCCCCGGGCAGTGCCCGTGCCCGCCCCGGGCCGCAGACGCCTCCTGGGGCCCGGCGCCAGGCGGTGACGCTGCGGCTCTCCCCTCCCAGGGCCCTCGCAGACGGATTCCACCAGCCTGGAGCAGGAGAAGTACCTGCAGGCCGTCATCAACTCCATGCC